TGACTACTTGAGTTAATAGTTCTCACGGGCACTGACGGAATGGGTCGATGAGATGGTACTCTATCTCTATGACCACTTTTATCGGCACTTTTGCTATCCTTAACCTCCACTTTACTCCTATTACTCTCTCTCTCAACATTTATTCATTTAATATTACAAATAACTTACAAATTATTCAAAACAAATAAAATCTCATATTTAAGGAAAATCTATTAATTATTATTGATTTATAAATGAATTAATTTTAAATAAATTTAATATAAATATTCTTACCATTATTATAAATGTTATTTAAAATAATCAAAAGATCATTACATAATAGCAATCCACGACATATTTAAAGACTATTTTAAATAACTGAGCGATTGTTACACAAATAAATCCATTTTTAAATTTCATTAAAACCTTTTTGTTATGAGTTATGCAACAAAAAACTATATATAAATAATTCCATACATTTAGCTCTTCTCTCGTTTTTTACCAAATTATATAATAATAATTATTAATAAAATAAATAAATAAATATATATAATATATAAGCAATAAAGAAATTTTATTGAAATTTAAATTAAATATACTGTTATATTACCAACAATTTTAAATAAATATATAAAACAGTTGATTAACTTAAGCACTAGTATAACTGTTTTGTGTTACATAATATTAAACATTTACCATAAACGTTGTTTTGATGAAAAATTAATTTTTATTAAACCTTGATACATGTAGAATAACCAAAGAATCTTCACCTTCATCACAAATAGTTTACTTTTTTCATGATAGAAACTAACCCTGACATAAAAGTCTATTAGCAAAGACCCTATTTTGAGCTTAATTTTAAACAAATGTGTAAATTAGAGATTATATGATAACAAAACCTAAAACTAATTGTATTTTTTGTTTATTTAAGATAAACCCAAATCTTGACATAAGTTTTCTGTCAATTTGTTTGTTCTTCTCATTTGTGATATTAAAAGACATTAAAAGTTAGTTATAATCAATTAGACAAAGCATTGCTACTTAAGACCCGCCGACTCCTACTTTCGATATCTTTATGCTTAATTTGCTTTCGCTTTTATGGCTTTATTCTGGTATCAAAAGCACCAGTAGTACTGTCAGTGCCGTACAATATGTGCTGTCATTACTACTATTTGATGCCAATTGTTTGTAATACAATATAACACTAGTCTTATCGTTACAGTTAATAAGTCTGAACGCAGATGTATTGCCCCAATACCGTCAGGAAGCGCCCAAAACACCGCCACATATTCTCCTTCATTACTGCGCCTTCAAAGCTATTTGGTATGTCATCCCATCGAATACCCCCTCATCTCAACCTTTCCCTCCATCTCTCTCCCCTCTCTCCCCTCTCTTCCACTCTCTTTTCATTGTAAAACTTTTAACATCAAAGAAATGACAATTAATTCTAATTATATAACACGAGAGAAACACTTATGGAAAAAGTAATTTAAAGTAATACTGGTTTTGGTGTGTAATGTAGGGATTGGGTGATCCTATGCCTGACCTTCTATACGGCTATAATGGTTCCCTATAACGTCGCCTTCAAGAATAAAACATCCGAAGACGTCACTCTTCTGGTGCTCGACAGGTACTCATCATTCAATACATATGACAATAGCGGACACTAATACGACAAAAAGCATTTCATAACTCTATATGTTAACAGTTAAACACAATATTGAGGTCTATTATTATGTTATGTAACAAATTATATATTAGAGGACAACAAATAACACTTAACCGATTACAGCCACTATTGTTTCCAATGCTAACACTTAGATGTTTATATCGTTTTTTTGTGCCAATAGTATAGTAGATGTGATATTCTTTATCGATATTGTGCTCAACTTTCACACAACATTTGTGGGCCCGGGAGGAGAGGTAGTGTCAGATCCGAAGATAATTAGGATGAATTACTTAAGGAGTTGGTTCATCATTGATCTGCTGTCGTGTCTGCCCTACGATATATTCAATGCCTTCGACCACTCGGATAATGTGAGTGAATCGCCCATCACTTCTCTCCATACACTTTGTCTATCCATTCCCTGATTAACTAAAAATCTATTTCTCATTTATTCCGAAATAAATTATTATTTCATGTATTTGTGGGCTAACAGCAGGGCATCGGCAGCCTATTCAGTGCTTTAAAGGTTGTGCGTCTCCTCAGACTGGGAAGAGTTGTACGAAAACTTGATCGATATCTTGAATACGGTTTGTATATCTATTAAAACCAAAACTTGAAATTGGATTTCATGTTTGCACAATAGGGATACTCAACCGATTGCACATCAAATTAGTGTTTTCATAGCATTTACACATTTTAGCCAAACTTTTAACATATGTAGTACGAGTTAGGACAGCATTTAGAGGCAATTTTTAATTAATGCATAATATAAAAATTATGTTTTCAATATTACAATAATTTATTAAATTATTACATTGACTTGGTTAATTTTTAAATATATTATAAGCATATAATGTTCAATTTGATAATAAACGCCCATTTATCATAAGTTAAAAGACATTTTATTTTTAAAACAATTTTATTAATGTTGAAGTAAATTCTTATGCAAGAGTATGAGCATCGATATAGAGTATAACGTGGTATCTTTTCCAATACCATATTACCGGTATATTTATGAATAATTTGTATATTAAATTTTATATTTACATTCAAATGCATTGATATTAGAGTCAAAACACACTAAATCTAAGCATCATTTAATATTTATAACTTATTTGACAAAAAAGAAGTACATATTATATCTATTTTTATACAGAATTTTCAATTCCATTACAAAATATACAGCAATTTATAACAGAATATAATACCAAACATTCTATCATTGATTTGTAATTGAATTTTTGCGCTAAAATCCGATTTCAAAAGATTTTTTCGATCAGTTTATTGCTTTTGTCTAATAATTAAATTGTGGTAATTTTGTTGTATTGTTTGTGCAACAGGTGCTGCGATGCTGATACTTTTGTTATGTTTTTATATGCTTGTGGCCCATTGGTTGGCCTGTATATGGTATAGCATAGGCCGCAGTGATTCGGAAAATAATCTCACATATAGTTGGCTCTGGAAACTGGGAAACGTAACTCAGGTTTGCATTTAATTATGTATTATATATCGATATATATTATATGTATTATATATGTGGCAAAGTTTGGTGTGTGTGTCAAAGCAGATCCCTTACTCCCTGACCAGACTATTAAAAACTTTTTGATAAGAGAAAAAAAGAAAGAAAGAAAGAAAGAAAGAGAGAAAGAAAGAGAGAGAGAGAGAGAGGTTGAAACAAGAATTGCATTGCAATTATTTGTGTCAAAAGTGCCTACTTTTGCGCTTTTATAAGTTTAACTCAATTGAAACAAATAACTTTTCGGAGACCAAAAACCAAGTGAATATGTATTGGTTGCGTGCCTTCGGGCACACTATATGGCCATCAATTGATATTCTCTGATGAATAGTGTTTTGAATATTTCAGATCCCTTTCCACTTTCGACCGAACAATTCTTCGCAACGAATCGAGTTAGAGGGCGGACCCGAGAGGCAGACTATGTATATAACATCGTTGTATTTTACCATGACTTGTATGACAAGCGTTGGCTTCGGTAATGTGGCGCCAGAAACGGACAACGAAAAAGTGTTCACCATTTGCATGATGGTTATTGGAGGTGAGATATGCCACTAACCACCACCACTACAACCATCACATACCATAGCACTCATACACATTCACAAACACATAGCACTTTACATGTACTATGCATTGCATTTCATACATAAAACATCATTTGTCTTAGCCATCAGTTTATTACTTCTTTGACACCCGTATCTAATTTCAAATGTCAGATGCAATCGATTTTAATACGAGAAAAAATATATTAAATATATTTATATTATAATCATATTTGACGCGCGTATGAGTTATATTGAATTGCTTATCGGCGACACTAATACCGATGCCGTGTATTACAGCCCTGTTATACGCGACAATCTTCGGTCACGTGACGACAATCATCCAGCAGATGACGAGTGCGACCGCCAAATACCACGATATGTTGAATAATGTGCGAGAATTCATGAAATTGCATGAATTGCCAAAAGCTCTGAGCGAACGTGTCATGGATTACGTGGTCTCGACGTGGGCTATGAGTAAAGGCATCGACACGAAGAAAGTGCTCAGCTATTGCCCCAAAGACATGACGGCCGACATATGCGTCCATCTGAACCGTAAGGTCTTCAACGAACACCCGGCCTTCCGACTCGCCTCCGACGGGTGTCTGCGAGCGATGGCGATGTACTTCAGTATGGATCACAGCGCCCCCGGAGACCTGCTCTATCACGTCGGCGAGTCCATCGACTCCCTCTGCTTTGTCATATCGGGCTCTCTCGAAGTCATACAAGACGTGAGTGCCTCTCCTATCAAACGCCTTATCTCTGCTGTCAATCCCAATGCCATTCATTCACTTTTTACCATTACTTTTAACGACACATTTGTCTCAATACTTTTGTGTCGCTTTTCTTTCGTGCTGTGAATTCACGACTTGTTTTTCTCTTTTGATTCTCGTTTGTTTGGTTTGGTTTGATGTGCGGATCGACACAACCGACTCAATACCGACGGCAATATAGGACGAAGTGGTGGCCATATTAGGAAAGGGCGACGTTTTTGGCGATGCCTTCTGGAAGGAGCCGACGATTGGCCAGTCGTGCGCTAACGTCCGGGCGCTTACATATTGCGATTTACACGCAATTAAAAGGGATAAACTCATTGAAGTGCTTAACTTTTATCAGGCGTTCGCCAACTCTTTTGCCAGAAATCTAGTCCTCACTTACAATCTCAGGCATCGGGTAAGAGAAAGAGACCGACAAAACTATCGCACACTTATTGCACAAACGTGTTCATTATAGCCGCAGTATATTCTGTATAAATAGTATATTTAGTACAGTATTGTAAATGCATTTAGACTTCTTTTGCCAACAAAATCTTTATTGCGTTTTTGCGTGCATTTCTCTTATACACTGGTTTTTATTGCTTATATATTATTAAATATATTATTTTACTTTTTTGTAATGTATTAGTAGTTCAGTATATCTGAAGATTTTTGGTTTTATTTTTCAAAACATCTTATGACTTGAATTATTGGCACAATTCTCTCGTCTTAACTCATTATAATGTATTCATGTTTTTTATTTCAGTTAATATTTAGAAAAGTGGCGGACATTAAAAGGGAACAGGAGTTGGCGGAGAGGCGTAAGAACGATCCGGTGCCTGATTTGGCTCAGGATCATTTAGTTAGGAAAATATTCTCCAAATTCCGTAAGCCATCGGATAGTGGTGTGCCTCAAGTGCTGAGTCGTCCGGGTTCTAGTCTAACCCATACGCCCGCCATTCAAGACCTCGAGAGGGGAGAAATGCCTCAGACTTTACAAACGCACGAAACACCGAAACCAAAGCTTTCGATCGGTTCAGAACCGACGTCGAGGGCCAGCACTGGCGGCAGTCGGGGCTCCAAATGGGCGGCCGCCCTCTCCAACGCCACCACTAATAATAATAATAATAATAATAACAACAATTCGGTGGTTGTGTCGGCACAACAACCGCAACCACCGCCACAGACATATGATACGGCTACAAGTGATATGAATAAACATCGAGATATCGTGAAAACATCTGATTTTCAAGACAATGAATTAATGGACAAACAGATGTCCGATAGAGACGATCAAAATTTAGGAGCCATTCGTCGAACAGAATTAGTTTGCAAAAAGTCAGAACATATTCATGTAGTGAAAGACATACGACCGCCCACTCAGGGCAACAAATGGCCGCGAGTGGCCACCGGTGGCAGTGCCCGACCCGAGACCATCGAAGAGTCTACTGAACCCCAGGACAGTGAAGGCAAACGGGTGTCTCAGTTGTCTCAGTTGGCCATTGAAGGCGACCCGACGGCCGTCAAAACAGTGAGTGAATCGACAAAAGTAGTGATTCAACCGAAAAGCATCAATAGTTCAGATTATCAACAGATCATCGCTTCGCTCATCGATATGAGAGTCGACTTAAAACTTGAAATACAAAAATTAAGTAATAAAGTGAGTAAAATCGATGATCACATCTCTGATATTGTGAAAAAACTTTCCGCCTTTAATCTCAAAACTGATGACAATTTGAATACAACGTCGACCGCCGGCACCGCCGGTGATAACAAAGCGACGAAACCCGTGTCTGTGATCTCTAATAAAAACAATGACTTTTTCGATGAAAACGAAGAAAACAGATTACAAGAGGAAAGTAATGTGAAGAGTAATAGGAGTAAAGTGGAGGTTAAGGATAGCAAAAGTGCCGATAAAAGTGGTCATAGAGATAGAGTACCATCTCATCGACCCATTCCGTCAGTGCCCGTGAGAACTATTAACTCAAGTAGTCATAGAAAATCTGATAAATTACAAAAACAAGTGTCCGATAACTCCAACACTGAAACCGACGAAATGCGAGCGATGCTCGAGAATGAGATCGCAGAACAAGACATCGACAACACCGATGATGACCAGGACCTCACTTTATTACTTAATTTTTGTATTTCAAGTTTTAAGTCGACTCTCATATCGATGAGCGAAGCGATGATCTGTTGATAATCTGAACTATTGATGCTTTTCGGTTGAATCACTACTTTTGTCGATT